CACTTTTCATGTTCGCAACATATATGTACACATTATGTATTCAATTCTCATTTCATGTATGGAATTGTACCAATATTGTTTACACAGCATCATGAACACAGCGCTCCGCAAGCTTCTCTGGCACATGAACACACGTAACCCCCCATAGTGATATAACCAGTGATGTGCATCTGCAGAGCCCGATGGTCACTTGACACATCTGGAGGTTTCCAGTTCTATGCCCTAGTTGGCTGGAGATGAGGGGGACCTCACAGCCTAGAGAGAGAGAGAGAGAGAGAGAGAGAGAGAGAGAGGGATGACATTGACTCGTCCTAACACTTCAGTGGCCATGTGAGGGATGCTCCCATGGAGGTGGGGGGAGGGCTATTTTTCAGTGCACCGTCCTAGCGTACATGTGCCAAACTGAGACACTCCCACAGATCCACACTGACGGCAGAGCTCCAGACAATAATTAGGAGAGGGAACAGACCGTGTATGTGAAGGAACTGGTGATGCAAATATACATTAATATGTATTATGGACTATTTATTACTCTATGTATTATGTCGCTGTTGTGCAGCAGGTAGGATTGTATCAGCATAGACATCACATGCAAAGCTCGGCACCTCTGTGTGGATATCTGCTTCTAATCACCTATTCTGGTGCAGTGAGTTGTGTTTGCCAGCTGAGTGTCTGTCAGCATGCAGGACAAGAGGGAAGTTTTGCATTTGTGGACACTCAGGGACAGGATGTGGACGGCTCTGTATGTAGTCAAGCATGGAGCGAAGTCGGGGTCCGTCACTGCCAGCATCTGCTGCCCACTCGAGGCCGCCCCAGAGGCACTGACCAAGCGGCATCCGTCTCGCTCTCTCTCGCACACACATACTTAAACACACACTGGGCCAGCAAAGTGGGAAGGAACGTGTATTCTTCTTCTTTAGTTCTCAACCGGTTTCGTTGATTTTGTGGTTTCAACTGGTAGATTGTGACCCAGATGTGGATGTGTGTACATATTTGATTAGAAATATTGTGAAGTATTATTAGAGTTTAAAATAACAGTTTTTTGAATATATTTTAAAATGTAATTTATCTCTGTGATGGCAAAGCTGAATTTTCAGCAGCCATTTCTCCAGTATGTAGTGTCATATGATTCTTCAGAAATCATTCTGTTATACCGATTTGCTTTTCAAGAAACCTGGAAAATATTAATTATGTTGGTCAGAAGAGAGAAAGATGTCAAAAAAGATGTCACTCCCTCAGCCGTTTTATTAGAAAAACTTGTTTTGCAGTGTTATTTAATACAATTTAATGCCAAAATAGTTGAAAATATAAAAAACTTTTTTCATGATTATTTGAGGAAAACAAATCTTTTGTAACATTATAAATGTCTTTCACTGTCACTTTTGATCAATTTAATGCATCTGTTTCTAAAAAAAAAAAATACTGACCCCATCTTTTGAACGGTAATATATAATTTTGGTGCTGTGTTGGTTCTCAACTTGATGTCCTGCATAAAATGGGTCCTGAAGCAAAACGAGTTGAAAACTACAACTTTTGTTTGTTTGCTCACAACTTTTGTGCAGCAGGTGAATGGATCTGCATCCTGGACTGTGTTTCTCCAATCTGGACCCCCAGGTGTGTGAGTGTGTGTGCGTCTGCGGGTTGAACGGTGGGTATGTTTCGGTGTGGGTGGAAAATTGGGCTGTGTGTGAGGGGGTGTTTGTGTCCTGCAGTGGAAGAAAGAGAAAAGAGAGTGAGAGAGGAAGTGATGAAGGGTGAAAGCAGGGGGAGATGAGACACTTTGATGATGTTAATTTTGGGTTTATCTCACAGATGGTATGAATGATTTCTGTTTGGTTGGAGCTCATCTAGAACACTAGGGGTCCTTTTATCTTTCTTCATATTTATTTATTTACCTATTTTATCACCGGACCCCCCATCTCCACCCCACATCTTCCTGAACACCACTACAACACTTTTGTTTTGATTACCTTGTTAACATTTCACTTCATTGCAAATTTAGTTCCCTTTGTGTTTAGCGAAGAGGCTCCATGTGGATTGATTTTGATAAATGGGAAGTCTGGTCTGAAGAGCAAAATAACCGTTCTCTTTATTGAAAGTGGCTCCTAATGCAAAGTCTGAATGTAAGGGAAATTTCCTATGGTGAATTCAGCCAGTGACTGATACATGTTATAATGGTTCTGAGCAACAACAACAACAAATATATATATATGGTTTTACATATCATGAGTAGATATACTGATGGAATTAATTTTTTGGCCAGAATCTGTAGTTTTCTGCATAATAGATTTAAACATGGTAAAACGTGTTAAACTGAGCTAAGAGTACTGTATTTCTAGACCACTATGACTTTTATTGATTTATTTTTTTCACAAATAAAAACAAGGCTGCGAGGGATAGAATAATACACTATAGTCTGTTCAGTAATATATATATATATATATATATATATGTTTTTATATATATATATATATATATATATATATATATATATATATATATATATATATCCTTCAAAGCCTGTACTCCATACTGCGTTTTGTGCATTAGTTTAAAGTAGAATTTGTTAGAACATATAGTGCATGCATATAATGATATTGAACGTGATACAAATGTATGGTTTGAGAGAGTTGTTTTAATATCGAAATATATGTTGTTACTTGCTTGCATCACATTTACTGACAAAGAGAATTATTGATATGTTTATTTTGTGTATTTGAATACTCTGAACAAACTATGGGTAAAGTTAAAAAATAAATGATATAAAATAGCCCTTTAGTAATATGATGATCCCTCCACAGAACAATTTCATTATGCATAAAAACTGGAATTACAAATGAAATGTTCCATTTTACAGTAGTTGCTATGATTTCTTTTCTCCATAGGAGTGTGATTTAGTCATTTATCCTTTTGTGCAAAGGTAAACAGGTCCTCCATGATCAAAATATACCTCAGCATTCAGCAGAAGCCAGATTGTGCCGACACACCAGTCCCTTGTACTTTTGTTCTTCTGGGTGTCAGTGAAATTAATAATTCATACCATTTACAGAGTAACTCTGAAATTAATCCTTACTGAAACTTGAGGAGAAGACCTGATTACATTAATTTAGCTCATCACATTTAAGTCAGGCTTCTAAAGCCATTCAATGTTGACCTGTGACATGTGAATTACTGCTAACTTTCTAAATAAATGAAGGTGTGTTTTACATATTAAAGCAAAAACTGTTTATATTGTTTTGCATACTGAGTTGTGTGAAACTGTAAATGAAAGGAAAAAATTTCACGGAAAATACTAAAATAGAAATCTGCCATAGAAACAAGGATGCTGTGAATTTGTGTGAGTTTGGTAGAGGGTAATTGAGTGCTCTCCTGCCTGCATAAAGTGTGGGGCTGGGGATCTCTTCAGGTGTTTTTAACCGAGAAGCACACCACTCTGGGTTAAGCCGGGTTAGCCACCAAAACTTGCTAAAATTTCAGCTGCTGCTCCTTTCACTCAAAGAGTTGTGTAGTTGCTAAGCTTCATAGGACTTTGTGGAAACATTTGAACTTTGCCAATGTAGGTGCTAGGAGCAGGTGGATGAGGTCAGGGGGCATCAGAGGTTTGCTTCAGTGGCAGTGCCAATTTTAACTTACAAGACTGTCTGTGCACTCTTCATTCATCTTGAGTATGGAGGCATCTTGCTTTTGAGTTGTTTTTCCTTATATTCGTACATTCTGTTCGTTTACTGTATAGCATGAGACACCTGTGGTCATTTTAATCTAATAAAATCATCAATTATTTCAATGTAATGTAAGTGATGTACAGTCGGCCAGTTTGTCGCAAAATAAACACAGACAGGTTGGTCAGGGCTCAGACGGGAAGCGAGTTTAGTGCTTTTGTCCTCAGCCTCTTTCTTCTCACATAATAAAATAATTTCATTTCAGACCAATATTTCATGTCCACTTATTTATTTGGTAAGTAGCAGTCTGACAATCATCATAGGACAATAAACCCCTTCAGGGTGACATCACCTTATTTTGCAGTATATATGTTGGGCGATATGGATGGTTATGGCACTGTACTGTTGTAATGTGCACCTGCACTGGCTTCATAAATGTGACAGAATTGGCAATTGTCCTTCTTAAAAATATTGCTAAATATCACATACTGTGTATAATGTTGCGAAATGAACATATTAGAATAAAGGAATTTAGTGGATCTTGCAAAAAATAATGTAAAATGGTTAAGTAAAAACTGTTTAACAGTAAGCTACCTTGTGATATGCATTACAAAAATTGTTAAAATACAGTATATATATCTTTTTTTTTACTGTGAAATACTGAAAAAAAAATTGTGAATGGCTTTATTTACAGGAAAAACTGTTATTTAACTAGGTAATATGTGTCATTTTACTTTGGATGTTATTAAAATGATATTTTTTTGTAATAAGAATGAATTAGGTAACATATCAGTTGTTTTTCATTTTTAAATAACTAGTTAATTATTTTACAAACATATTCTCAAACATGTGCAGTTCAAATATGTCAGTGTATTAACATTATATGTAATGACATATAATCTAATGACATAAAAGCATTGTCAGGTAGCATGTCACCAAAATCCCGCCTAATAATTCTTGTAACGCCATTTGCAGCAACAATTTTGCCACATTATTTATTTGTTTGTTTGTTAAATACAGTAAAGTTCTGCCATTTTGTTTTTACCATAAAATATAAAGAAAAGGTCTAATCTAACAGTTATTTTCACCCACACACACATATTATTATTATTATTATCATCATTATTATTATACAGGACATCAAACTCTTCTGCAGTATGCCCTGTCCCCTATGTTTTGGGCTTTGGTAAGTGTTAACTTTTAGCATGCAAAATAACAGCACTTCCAAGCTCCTCGGTGAGAATGAACTTCGCATCCCGAATGAAAACGTAAAACAGAGCCAAACCCATGAGCTGCCTACAGTCGCTATCATCCAGAGACACGATGATGACGACGAGCTCGTGGAAGTCATTCATCAGGGTTCGGCGTTAGTCATGGATGACCCTTCATTTATCACTGATCCGGTGCTGGATAGACACATAGCGCACTGATTGGACGCAGCGGGGGGACCAGTAGCGCTTCACATCCACCGCCGAGCTAGATCCAGAGCTGAGGAAACACACTCTTGCGCGAATTATCTGTACTCTCGCAGCGCTTTCAGTTAGGCTTGCACGCGCGCACTCCCGGCTTTGTTGTATCTCTGTGAGGAAACAGCGGCTGCTCGTGTAACTCCGTATCTCGGTGTATCCGGACGGTGTCGGCTGATATTCGGCGTATACGCACATCAGCGCTGGACACATCGATCACCCCCGACCGATCTCCTCCGTTTGCTCTTGCATTCAGAGAGTCTGAGTGAATCTCGCGCTCTCCGGACTATATCGTTTGGACGGGAGTTGCTGTTTGAAGCGAGTTGAGGAGGACTTGTTTTGCAAGAAACATCTCTCTGTTTTGTCTTTCCCTGAAGAAGTTGACCGTCGTTTAGTGAAGTTTTCTCAATGGGATGCTGAAACACATCAACAGCAGGTAAGAAGCCCGATGGCCTCAGCATGCGCGAGCGCTCATTTATACACTTAATACTTTTTTACCCTTTTATAGAGACAAAACAGGTCAAGGCAGGTTTAATTTAATTTTCATTTTTAAAGCTTGCTTTAATTATTGTTTTATTCTTAGATTTAAAAAAATCAAATTATTACTCCTGAATGAAAATTAATATACGGAGAAAATGAGCTCGTCGCTTGAAATACATTACTTTCGGTATTTATAGTTTAGTTAAGCGCATGTTAATGTAAATAATATAAAGACAGTAGGTGCACACAGGTTGTAAATGTGTTCACGTGCGGTGTGTGTAAGCTTCACTGTATATTTTTAAGAGCACCGTGGTTTTATTAACTTCATCTACTTGACGTCTCCGTTGTCTTTCAGTGAAATGTTTAAAATGTGCGGCACAACAACTTAAAATGGTGTCATAAAATATCAGTTCTTAACTAAACACTTCTGACAATTTACATGTATTTACAGTAATGATGTTCAAAATGAGCAGTGTACTGCATGACAAAGTCAGATCAGTAAAATAAATACAAACAACATCGTATATATAAATTAGATATGAAAATAAATAACATAAGAATGCCAGGCTACCTGCATCTATAAAACTTAAAAATGCAAATCTGTAACTCATTTTCTATGAATCCTACTGTGTACGATTGAGTTTTACAACAATGGCAATAACTGACATAATACAAGTATAGATTATGAAAGTAGTTATTTGACTGTTACAGTATCCTGTGTGAACAATATTACAATATCTCACTGCTCATGTGTTGAAGTTGTTTGTGAGTGTTTCATACAGACCTGCTTTAGAGAGAAACTACTGTGTACAGCATCAACTAATTCACAGTGTGCTGACGATGTCTTAAAGTAGCTGTTTTCCAGAAAATCTGTGATGGTTAACTTCACCTAGTCATTTTTTTTTTTTTACTACAGTTCTTATCTCATGTTTGTTTAAGCTTTATTCTCAGCTCTGAATGATTAATTAAAAGCATTTAAAAAGCTTAGCTTATGCTTATAAACAAATATTCTCTCATAACCAAGTTTTTGAAAGTATAAAAGTATGAGACAGTACAATTTCACATAACACACTCTGGCAGTTTTTTTTTTTATATATATATATATATAAGAGTGTGTTTTCTGAGCAGCTTTTTTCTCTTATATTTTTCAGAAAATTTTTTAATATTTATTTAAATATTTGTTTATTTTTTTCAGACAAATTACATCATTTGCTTTGGTGACTTTAATGGCAGTAAGGGTGTCTCTAAATTACTTATAATGTCAAACTGATCTGTACATCATTGAGCCAAACCTCTAAAGCACATCATGGATTGCAGACTACTCAAACATTTATACAGTATTCCGAAAAGCAATAAGATAAAAAAAAAGGTTATCAGTTAAATTTTTCTTATGAACACATACCTGAAGGTTGTGTTTCGATAGATAAAGAAGAAACAACCTGACGTATACACACACACACACACACACACACACACAGACTGAAAACAGTGTAGAAGGGAGCATGGTGCTGAGGTATCACCATGTACTGTAATTGCGCTGAAAGCTGATACTGACGATAGTGATTGGTGAAAGATTCCTGGCCCATCCTAAATGGTCTTTTGTTTAAATGTTAATGTATATTGCCCGCTAAAGTCACGGACATCAACGGACATGGCCACCCTTTGAATCATGGTTCTGGACTGCCCTCCTATATTCAGTTTTTTTTATATATATCTGTGTTCAGAAACATGTTTCAGTCTCCTGGTTGTTTTGACTGGTTTAGGCCTTCTACTGAAGGTTTTGTTGTGTGATTTATTTTGTGCCAGTATTTCTAAGCACATATCTGACATTCTGTTTATTAGAATTCTCTAGTTCAGGTCGGTCAGGTCAATTTGATAGTGTAATCCGTGACCCAGTCATTTATAGATGCACAAGATGTTTGAGATACAAATATTGGTGTCTTGTGCAAATTAGATATGACTTACTGTATATAATAGTGCAATTTTTTATATGAATTTGTATACCTATGCCTGATTTACTTTTTTTTTTTTAAACAGAAATATTTGAAAATGTATTTGCAGGGAAACTAATGTATTATGGGGGATGTATGTAATAATGCGAGGAGAGATTTAGCATTGTGTGTGTGTGTGTGTGTGTGTGCGTGCATGCTGAGAGACCTTTGACTAATCTGAAGTGTAGCTGAAATAAATTTTTGATGTTGCCTTGAACTTGGCCTTTGTTCACTTGAGAGACAGGGAGGGGGGAAAGAAACAGACAATGGAAAAACTTGAACTGATTTTATTATTTCACATTAAAGTTAGAGTGATCGATAGGAGCACTTTCAAACTCTGAAGTGTCATTTATATCGTGACAGAAAGAGTTTTTTTTTTGTTTGTTTGTTTTTGTTTTTTTTAGAAGACCCGTGGCAGGCCGAGGCTTGTGGGACGGAGAGAGCGTGCGCATGTTTGATCTCAAATCAAATAAAGGAGCAAGAAGGCACCATTTGTTACTGTAATGATGCTAATATTGTCACATATAGTGGTCCTCTTTCCCTCATAAAGGCCAGTACAGATGTTATTGGCTGGGGGTTGTCATGGTAATGGGATTCACTGAAGGTGGATTGATTGACAGAACCTGTCCAGTGTGGCCAGATGTTTTATCATCTCCTTGTTGCTTCTGCTTTCGCACCTGCTTAAAAGTCAGAATACATATCATTTCATTATTCAAAGCCCAATTAGTCAGCATCTTCGTTTTAATCATTCCCTGTCAATGGGAGGCATGACAGCTAATTGCAGAAACATTTATTTTCGTGTAATTTCATTTTCAAGGCAATACGACTCTTAACATGATTAATAATCATCAGGAGCACAGTGATTGGGAACAGATAAATAGGCATTGTTGTTTTGACACCGGTGTGTGTTTGTGCATGTGAATGAATGTGACTATTTGTATCTCCACACTTCCTTTCTGATGGTATGGTACTGATTCACCAGCTTGTTAAATGCAGTGCATGAACAATTGGGAGTCGGCATTGCATGTACACACACACACACACACACACACACACACACACACACACCAACGAGGCCTGAATGGCGTGTAGCATTTGGAGTAGGCTCATTGCTGCCCAGCCATGCTTACAGATGGAGACGGTACACTAGTGTTTTTGCCCAACACCAACTCAAACCCAACACTAACTCAAAGCTTACTGACTTGAGTGCACATGCCAAACGACAGCCGAGGCCTTGTGCCTCTTTACAACATTCTTTTGTGTGCGTGTGACATAGGTGCATTGTAATGTATTGTGGAAGAGAGGTGAGGAAGCAAATAATGTTTTTGACTTGCGTGACCAGATGGAATGTTATGCGCAACCTATGCAAGGCTTAATTAAAATGTCACATGGCAGCTCGAGCGTATTGATGTGCCGCTGTTGTGCCGCTTTAATTGACACTTTGAGGGATGCACTTTCACTCGTCTGGTAACGGTCGGAGTGTGCTAATATTTCAGAGAAGAAAGGAATTGTCTGTGTTTAAGACCCATCCCCTTGACCTAGACTCTTTAATGCAAAGCCTTTTCTTTTAAGTCTTGTCACTCTGATTTATGCTGAACTCCTCAATGCATTGAAAACACAGAAAATACTTCAAATAGGATTATACGCAGACACACACACGGACGCACACTCTGGTTGGAATCCACTCTTTAGAGCCGGTCAAAGCTGTAAATAGTTTAGAAATGGTAAAACGGATTGCTAACTGTCTAATAATGCCATTACAGACAAACAAAACAAATCCATTCTCATGGAGACTACCAAAGAATTGTTAGGCAAGTGTGACACTACTGTACTGGACACCTTTTTTCATTGTCGTGTCCCACAAGACAATGTTGACTTACCAGCATAGTGTTCAGTAGATGGTGGCTGCTTGTGTTTGCTGGGAATTTGAGGAGAGCGGCACGGGTACCAGGAAATAAGAGGTTTGAGTCGGCGTGTGTGCTTCAGAACAGCTGGACAATGAGGGAATCAATTTTTCAACATTCAGTAGGGTTTTGTGTCTGTGTCTCTAGGTCGCTGTACTTGGCTGATCAGTTTATTTTTCAGAGGGGTGAAAGCCGCTCGCATCCTTCCAGAAATTCTTTTTCCCCTCCGCTTTTATAGAGAAAGAGTGGCGAATGAATAATGCCATTACAGACAAACAAAACAAATCCATTCTCATGGAGACTACCAAAGAATTGTTAGGCAAGTGTGACACTACTGTACTGGACACCTTTTTTCATTGTCGTGTCCCACAAGACAATGTTGACTTACCAGCATAGTGTTCAGTAGATGGTGGCTGCTTGTGTTTGCTGGGAATTTGAGGAGAGCGGCACGGGTACCAGGAAATAAGAGGTTTGAGTCGGCGTGTGTGCTTCAGAACAGCTGGACAATGAGGGAATCAATTTTTCAACATTCAGTAGGGTTTTGTGTCTGTGTCTCTAGGTCGCTGTACTTGGCTGATCAGTTTATTTTTCAGAGGGGTGAAAGCCGCTCGCATCCTTCCAGAAATTCTTTTTCCCCTCCGCTTTTATAGAGAAAGAGTGGCGAATGACCTCTCCCTGTGAGCCGCTATGAAAAATTCATGGTCTCGTCCCTCTTCGAGCCATTATGTCAACATCTAAAAATACTTTATTTCACACTGGCGCCTCTGTGATGGTCAATGATAAACAAACTGCAAAAACCACCAGCTCGAGTTGGTAACACTTTGGGATTGGCAAATAAATAGATAAAACTTTCCAGTTGCATCAAAAAAAGTTGGACGGATCTGGTGTGTTACATGCAAGCGTATGTCTTTTTGGTGAAATATGCAGTGCGACCAGCGCAGAAGACAAAGATTGTGTGAATTCTGTCGAGTGTGAAATAGGGAAGTAACCAGCAGCTTTTAAGATGGCTCCACCTCCAACCTTAAATCTGTTATGGTTTTTTTTCTCCCCTTCTTTTATCT